CGACTGTCTGTCTGGGGGTGGGGAGGGGAGACACTGCTGCAGGCCTGGCTGCTAAGCTGCTGTGTTCCCAGTTACCCATCAATCATGGTTCACTCAGGGACCAGGGGCTCCGGGCCCACCTCAACACACAGGACCTAGCTACTACATAACGACTTAACCAGCATCAATTAGCACCTACAAAACCAGGCTAAGGAGAGGAAAGACTCAATACAGACAATCAATTGCCCCAGGACAGACACAGATCTCGACAGCTGGCAGGTGTCATGCCCACAGCAGGGGCCACCATCCCTGCAGCTGTCACCCCGCTGCGCCTGAACACACACACGGGCACCCATGGCACCAGTTTTGCTTGTCCACAGCTTGAGAGGCAGCTCCCCCCAAACCCCTGCACTGATCTCCTTGAAACTTGGCAGGTTTTGTGGCCTCAGTAAGAGCTACCAGCCCTGCAGTTTTCACCCCCCTGTGGTGTGACACACAGCCGTGACATGAGTTTGGCTTTCAAGAATTTGGGGTACAGTTTCTCCCAAACCCCTGCACTGATCTTCTTGAAACTTGGCAAGTTTCATGCACTCAGTAGAGGCTATCATCTTGGCAAGTTTCATCTAAATTGCAGAAAAAACAACAAAGTTATAGATATTTCATTGATTCCCCATTATACCCTATGGCTGGATCTCCTAGCTGGCTCCGAAGGTTCGGAGCCACTTCAGCCGCATCGAGGCGGAAACCCGGTCGGAGCTCCGGGTCGGATCACGGCCATCCGAAGCAGCTGGATCCGAAGCTGGATCGGATCGCTGCCGACTCGCACAGGCCTACTAAATGCCCTTCCCCTCCCAACTTCAGTGCCAGACTTGAGAGACAGAGAGCCTGAGTGCATCTATGGGGCATGCATGCCAGCTTGCTCCAAGATATCCACGCTGCCAGCTTTCTGGTCCCTAGTGTACCCAAGCTGGGGTGAGTGGGCAGGGTTTATTTTGGTGGCAGTGTCCGGAAGGAGATTGTATAGACATGCCCTTGTTTGCCTCATTCCTTTGGATTGGGCTGAGGACATCAGGATTCCTGGGCCTTTCTTGGTGATGTGGGGGCCTAAGAGAAACAGCCTTTTTTGGCATTTGTTTGCATATCTGTCATTGTGATTCCAGCTCAGTGTTGCATTCCCTCCCCATCCTTGACACCACTTCAGAGAGATTTTATGCAAATCAAGAGATCCCAGGTTTTGCCACCCAATAGCATGGCAACATAAAGCATAAGTCACGGGAACCTGACTCCAAATTAATTTAGCACTTCCCCAAAGTCACTCTCTGTTACTGGTAGCTCTGACTTTATGTCCCCCTTTGGAAGCCCAGAATAGCTGAGCTCCACAAATACATTGATCATGAATTTTAAAAATATAGGCATGTCATGAATGTGACTTTAACTCCTTCCCTTAGGGAAATGGTTGAGGTACAAATGCTTTCAGTTCCTTTAATAGTCTATGCTTCTTATATTTTTTCTGTATTCAGTGAAGTTATTCACCAAGAGTTAATCTTGTTTTACTCATATTTCTTATACTTTCCCTCGTATTTCCATTTTCTCAACATTTAAACAAATAATCTTAGTCACTAGAACAAATGAGGAACCAAAAATGACTCAGGGTGTCTGGTCTTTTCAACCCAGGTAAGTCAAATTTGATACTTGGGAAATGTATAAAAAATGTATCAACATACTGAGTAGCTTATATATAATTGGTCCTTATTTCTCTGAAATCCTCTAATACAAAGTGGCTTCCAACTGTTAGCTTTGTATAAAAAAATGTAATGACAAAGCCTTGGCTGGGATGATCTAGTTGGGGCTGCTCTTGCTTTGAGCAGGAGGTTGGACTCAATGTGACCTCCTGAGGTCTCGTCCAACCCTCATCTTCTGTGATTCTATTAAATATACCAGAACCAGTTATTAAGCAATCCAGTTATGGAAGACTAATAAGGTGACTGAAGCAGGTGACAAGGACTTGTCAAGAACAAATCACACAAGAACAATCACATTTCTTTCTTTCAGATGCTATTTGGTCTCCTGGATAAGGCAGAAGCAGTAGATATCATATATCTTGACTTTACAAGGCCTTGACACCATCCCACATCCAATCTCATAAGCAAAACAGGGAACTCACCACCAGGTGAGTCTGCAGCTGATGAAACAATCACGCTCAAGGGGCAGATCATGATCAAACAGGGAGGATATTTCAGTGGTATCTTTCTGGGTCCTGTTCCCTATCCTATTCAATATTTTATTAAGGACTCTGATGACAGAACAGAGGGTACATTCTCACTTTTGCAGCTGGGACACCAAAAGGCAAGGACTGAAAGTATTTTTGAGGACAGAAAAAACTCAAAATCTAAGAAACAATCCAAGAAAAATCAATAAATTAAGTAACAACAAGGGCTACACAATCAAGTGCTATAATAAAGACTAGGGCTGTGCAAAGCTTCAGATCATGATTCGGATTCGGAGATGATGCAGATGATTCAGAGGCTGAACCTATGAATCTGAATTGAATAACAGGCAGCTTTAGGCTTTCCAAATTGATTCAGAGCTTTTGAATCGATTCAGAAAAGATTTGGAGATTTGGCCATAGGGTATAATAAGGAATCAATTAAATATCTATAATTTTGTTCTTTTTTGGCTATTCAGATTAAACTTGCAGGGATGGTAGCCTCTGCTGAGAGCATGATGTGTGCCAAGTTTCAAGGTTATAGGTGCAGGGGTTTCTGGGAAACTGCACCCTGAGTTTCTGAAAGTCAAACTCGTGTTGTGTGCGTGTGTTAAGCCAAAGTGGGGGTAAAACTGCAGGGGTGGTAGCTCTTACTGAGGCCACAAAGCCTGCCAAGTCTCAAGGAGATAGGAACAGGGGGTGGGGGAAACTGCAGCCCAAATTCTTGAAAGCAAAACTCATGTCACGTGCGTGTGTTAAGCCACAAGGGAGAACAGTTTGCTTTCCCTCTTCTTTCTGGCAGCTTTTCAAATATTTGAAGATTGCTGTCACGTTCCCCCTTAATTCCCTTTTCTCCAAACTAAACATGCAAAGCTCTCAACCTTTCCTTCTATGCCTTGTGAACCGCTAGACAGCTATCAGCTTCAGTGCAGAGCGGACAGATAAATAAAGATAGATATGGTTTTTTGTTTGTAGTGTCCACCACACCAGCTAGACGGACAGGTTCTGGCCTCTCCCACAATTACAGAGCTGATTTCAAGAAGAGCATGGACGTGAGAAGTGTTTTATGATCTTTCATTTCATGTTAATCCACACCTACAAAACCACAGACTAAGGAAAGGAAATAATCAATACAGACAATCAACTGCCCCAAGACAGAGACAGTCAGTCTCACAAGCACCCATGGCACGAGTTTTGTCCATCAGCAGCTAGGGGTGCAGGGCCCCAGAGCCCCCCTGCACCGATCTCGACAGCTGGCAGGTGTCACAGCAGGGGCCACCATCCCTGCAGCTGTCACCCCGCTGCGCCTTAACACACACAGTGTCACCAATGGCACAAGTTTTACTTGTCCGCAGCTTGAGGTGCAATGCCCCCAAACCCTTGTACCGATCTCCTTGAAACCTGGCAGGCTTCATGCTCTCAGCAGAGGCTACCATCTCTGCAAGTTTAATCCAAATAGGACAAAAACAACAAAGTTATAGATATTTAATTTATTCCCCATTATACCCTACGGCCGAATCTCCGAATCAAAGCGGGAAACCGATTTGGAGCTCCTAATCAAATTGCTGGCATCAAAATAGGCCAAATCCAAACCCAAATCAAATAGTTCCCTATTCACACAGGCCGAATAAAGACAACTGCTCCCCTTAGGAAGGAGAACTAATTTGCATGAATTCAAAATGGGGAATAAGGGTTAGACTGCAGTACTGCAGATAAGGATCTAGTGGTCACCAATGTCATGCAATGGAAAAAAAAAAAGATCACTATCCCACTGTGGGCTGTAGTAAAAGAAATTTAGTATATAAGACACAGGGGAGTAATAATTCCACTCTATGTGGTGATTATGATGGCTCTGTAGAGTCCTGTGGCTGGTTTTGGACACCACCACTAAAGAAACTTATTGAATCTAGGGGAGAGCGACAAGATACTCAATACATAAACAGTGGCATAATTTACTTCCATTTTGTACACCAGAGAGAATTACCCTGGGTCCCAGAGTAGAAAGATGACTGGCTATCGTGAAGTAGCTGCTTTACAAGAAGCTCTTAACAGACCCTCACTAATAGACAGTGGGGAAGCAGGCAATAGCCTGTTTGCATTGAACAAGTGTTTACTGCATGTTACCTGTGGACACACAACACCTAGGCTCAGGCAACTTATACCAGAACATTTGACTGCTGTTTTCCCCCACTGTAAATATGTCCAGGCCCCAAGGGAAGCCAAGCTCTCCAATGATAAGAGCCTTCCAATAGGTATAAGGTTGTTATATAGAAGGGTTGTTATATATCCTCAACTGTTCTTCATGCCCACTGGGTGCAAAACATAAGGAAACTGGTTTAATTTGCAGCAAAGGAATTTCTGCTTTAATAGAAAGGGGAAAAAAATCTAATGCTAAGGAGAGTCAGGCACTTTAACAGTCCTGGGGACACTGGGGAATCTCCTTCATTGGAGGTTTTTAAGAACAGGTTAAAGAGGCATCTGTCCTAGATGGGCTAGGTATACTCACTCATCCTGTCTCAGGGTAGGGCGATAGACCAGATGATTCCCTGAAGTCACTTCCAGGCCCACATTTTGAAGACTCAGTGATTTGATGAGACAAAAATCACCCTTTGGTGACAGCCCAGCTTTAGCTCTATTAATATAAAACTCACTTCACCAAAACATTAAGATATTAGCACCCTTCCACCTCAAAAAACTAGTTTATATATATTAGATCAATGTTCCATGAAAAGGCTGACTGTCGTCCTGAATTAGAGACCCTTAGACAAAAGATGCTGCCAAACTGCAGCAATGAAACCAAACTGTTTACGTTTACCCTCACAGCTGGACTCATTGATACTCAGGAAAGGCTCCCTTCCAGATGTGGACATGAACCCTTCTTCACAGACACAACTGGAGATGTTATAGGGAACAGCATTAGGACCACAATCCAGGTCACCGTCACCATCACTACCACTCCCGCTGTAGTCACCAGATCCATACTGCGCATAATAAGAAGCTCCTGGAAGAGGAAAAACTAATTAAGAAGTCTATTTCAGCATGACATTTCATGTCCTACTGGCTTACTCAGGCATCGGTCCTTCCAGACCAGATCTTTGACGGTAAGGCTACCAGGTCATCAGAGGGAATCGTATGTAAGTGGAGAGCTGGTCCCCAACATTGCCAACCCCAAGCATTCAAAAATGAGTCGGCCCCCCAAAATCCTGACATTTCCTGAGAACAGAGCCACCTTTTCCAAGCTTTCTCCCTGCAACCATGCAATCTAGAAATTTAAGCTTGTATAGATAAATGCTGAAATTGCCTCCCATTGGAATACATTGCCAAATAAAAAGTAAAGTTTGGCATGAAATGCTTTTTTTTAAACAAATGAGAACATTTCATTCACACCCAAACATTTTTTTTTTAAATCCCTATGCAAAGGATGTTGCCAGTTTTTAGGTTTTGTTCCAATCTGGAAGGAAGTCAAACTGGAGTTTTCCAAAATCCTTCTCGAAAAGGTGATTCCATCATTCACACAGTTCTGTATATGAATAACACTTCAGCATTAGAAATTGTGTTTTTTCCTCGCCCCTTCATCTTGAGCCAAATAGACTGTGTCTTACCTATTCCTCTGCAGAAAAGAAGACATCCAAGACCTGAAATTAAATAAATGATTAGTGGGCTATTAGAGCCATTACAAGACATTATATACTGGAGCACCTTCCTTGTTAATTATCTCTAGAGGGATTGAAGTAGTTGCTGACTGGTATGTATTGATTACTGGCTTATGGCTTTTTATTTAAAGGTTATTTGAAGAGACTGGAAACCTGCCTATCTAAAAAACTGTTTCAGGCAGGAATTTTGTCATAAATAGCTCCAATTCCAGACTCTGGATGCTATTCTTTCCCTTTGTTTCAGGCCTCAGATAAGGTCAGATCTTGCTTTTCAGGCCTGCTATGGACTTGTTCTAAGTCTTGTCCCCATCTGTACCCTCTCTCTCATCTAGTATGATCCTTCCCTTGGTCATTTTGAACATCTGCTGATAAAAGGATGTGCCCTCTTCAGCCATGGAACAGGTTCCCTACATCCTTCGGCCTCAACAAGTCTCCCTCGCATTTCAGACCTCCCCTGAAGACAAAGATTTTCTTCCTTTCACATACCAACTCCTTTAGCTTTTCCCTTGCCCTTCTGTTATTTTCTATATTGCCTCATTTCCGTCTGTACAGAGCACGTAGAGAAGAGATTTTGCAAACGCTGGGCTTTGTGTTGAAATGAGCTTTGATTCAAGAAAAGCTATATGTTGCTCTATCTCAGTCTGATCCCAAAGGAGCTCTGGCTATCCTCCTTGTCCTCCAGTACTAGAAAGAGTGGAGGATGGGGAGGGATCTAGCAATGGAGTCCATGCCATATATTTGCTGGACTTCATTTAGACCGGTCTGCAATTCACTAATACTACAGGGGGAAATGCCTCCGTGTTATGCAGCAGGGCATAAATTATAGGTCACTATGAGAAGGCAATTAGATCTAGGGGAGTATAAACTGAGGTACTTTACATGCTGAGTGGCTTGTTAGTTAATGGTGCTACAATAAAATATTACTCCTGCTAATAATAATAATTAATTTTACAACCGTTTAGAAGCTCTTGGATTCATGTACAGCCATTAACAGGCAGACTCTACATTTGGGCTTTAGGAAAATAAAGTATTTTCTAACACTTGTGAACTCAAATCACCTGAATGTGATTTAAACAGTCTGCACCCCCCCCCCCCCAATTGAAATTTCTGGAGAAAAGGTCCTTTCAATACTCCCCAATTCTCTCATTCCAGGGACCATGGTCTCAAAGATGGGCTTATTTGCTACTAATAGGAGAAAGTATGTCCTCCCCGCGGCCCAGCTGCTAGCCACGGGTCTAGTACTCACCCAGAAGAAAGAAGTGGAATCTGCTCAGCATGGTGCCACTGCACTGAGTAAATGTGGGTTTAATTAGTCTCCTCAAAAACATGAAGGAACTTTAAATTGCTGAGAGCAGCTTATATTGGGTAGGCACTGCTGCATCTACTTCTGCAAAAAAACAAACTCCTCAAAGTGCATGTGTTCTCCCTCCTCTCTGGCTGCTTGCCATCTCCTGCTCTCAACGTGTCTGACTGAACACAGGTGGCCAAATGACACCTCCCAGATCATTTCACATAGCTCCCAAAGAAAGAGAAATGGTTGGACTCTCTGAGCAGATCAATGAGTGCGGCATGCACATCTCTGAAGTTTTGCATCCCGTGGCTCATGACTACATTGCCATGTTGGTTGTAGCCAGAAAGATCGTGGAGTTGACCCACTCCTGGCACAGTCCTATGCAATCACTGTGTTGGAAGGGACCTCAAGGTTCATTTGGTCCAACCCCGGCCAGAATACAGGAATGCTACTCCTACGTCATCCCCGTCCAATGCCTACCCGGCCTACCCTTGAAAACGTCCCCTACCGCTTGGGCAGTCAATTCCATTGCCTCACTGTTGCAACACTAACAGAGCATTTCCTGAGATATAATGCTTTGTGTCCTGTCCTCCACAAGGGAGAACAGTTTGCTTTCCCTCTTCTTTATGGCAGCTTTTCCAATATTTGAAGATTGCTGTCACGTTCCCCCTTAATTCCCTTTTCTCCAAACTAAACATGCAAAGCTCTCAACCTTTCCTTCTATGCCTTGTGAACCGCTAGACAGCTATCAGCTTCAGTGCAGAGCGGACAGATAAATAAAGATAGATATGTTTTTTGTCTGTAGTGTCCACCACAACAGTTAGACGGACAGGTTCTGGCCTCTCCCACAATTACAGGGCTGATTTCAAGAAGAGTGTGGGCGTGGGAAGTGTTTTGTGATCTTTTATTTCATGTTGATCCACATCTAGAAGGTCTAGAGCAATGTGAAAACTAAACTGCGGTGCTCCAATGACTCATGAAGATTTAGTCTCTGGATTAGTTTCAAGTTCTCACATCCACTCTGATCTCATTTTGACTAGACCTCTGAACCTCTTTTTTTTCCCAGCTATCAAACAGAAGCAGGGTTAAATCCCTATCCTGCAGGGCAGGGATGAGGTTCACTGGAATATACCCTAATGGATTTGCTTTTGCAGATGTAAGTATAACAGGGAGCAAAGAGCAGGAAGCCCTTGATAAATCCATTTATGGACTTTCCATAGGACTGTACCATGGAGGCATGCCCAGGAAGGGAAAGGATCCCTGCCTCATGGCATGAGATCTTTCAAGTGGTGTAAGAAGTGATTCAAAGTGCTGCTGGAGCACTCACCTCATCGGGATCTACTCCAGGAGGAGCAAGTGTGAAAAGGAAGCAGTGAAGCATTATGTGGCAGGTCATCACCTAATGTGAATTGCCACAGCAATCGTGGAAGAATGGCAATTTACATCAGCTGAGGATTTGCCCCTTCACGTATTGCCTGTCTTGCTAGTTTGGAGTCACCTACGTGCCCAAGCTGTGGAGGAGGCAGGGGCTGGGGGACCAGTAAGATGCAGAGCCAATAGAAATGACACTCCCTTCTCCATAAAAAATGTAAAATTTGACACACTAAAGCAACTAGTTTATTTTCAATGGACGCTTTCACCTTCTTTTTGGTTTTGAAAATGGGAACCATTGGTTTTTAATACTCTAGTTTTAATTTGAGGCATTCCCCACTTTTTGCCCATTTTTTGTTGTTACTTTTTCCTTACTTCTCTCTGTGAGGGAGAAGGGGGGGAGGTGGAATAAAAGGGGAAAATCTGGAAACTAAGAGTTGATTTTTTCTTTATTTTCAAAAACCGCAGCAAAAGGAAAGTGACAATTCAAAAGGAGGGGGGAGGAAAAGTTCAGGCTGAATACCTGTGCCCAAAAGCCTAGCCCTTTCCACACATCATTTCATTTTGATTAAACTTATCTTTTGCCTTGAAAAAGTTTTGGCCAAAAGAAATGGCTCTAACTGCATGGGAGAAGAGTCAGACTCTTGCAGCAAGTGGGTTTGAGAGGTCGGAGGCCAGTTGATATGGGCATGGGCAGCCCAAACAGTGGCAATTCTGGAGTCTGAGTGCTTCCCTTTGCAGCTGCCCCGAGGCGTGTAAATGTGTGCTCTGCTCAGGGGAAATCAATAGCCTGTGTGTGCCTGGTTCTTGCTGTAAGAACGTCGTTAGTCCACTGAGTCAGTGTGTCACACCATGAACCGCGGCACGCAAAGAAAGGGGGAGGGAGTTCTCAGAGCTGTCGATTCTGGGAGGGCCCTTACTAGAGATTCAGCATATTCCAGGCTAAAAAGGGATGTTTTTGCAGAAACAGAAAGGAAAAAAACCAAACAGAGGAACTATCTTTTCTTTTGTTTTGTTTTTTTACTCGCCTTCCTCATTTGCAGAAGAGCCTCATGATTTCCCTGACATCAATGTCAGCATTCTCTTGAACTGAATTTGCACCAGCCAGGACGTAGCTTCTTCCGTTTGTAGAAGTTAGCCCAATGCATTATTCAAATATGATTTGGGGACTCACGTACACAAGGAAGTAGCTACCCTACACTGGTATTTTTATATGGACGGCTTTGTTCTGCACTAAAAGTGCTTTTGGATACTGTCGCTTAGTCTACCTAGAAAGAACGTCCATACAGGGAGTAAATGTAACATAGCTATTAGACTTCGAATTCACACCACACCTTATTTCATACTAGCTTGCCCATGTAAAGCAAGACATAGGACTAATTCCAGGAGCCACTTTTATACTCCGAGACCAGCGCACCATGTATAAGAAACAAGAGGGGAATCTCAGGAGAGAAAAAACTAGCCATAATCCCCTCTATAACTGAGCTGTTTCTAATGCTGTAACATGAGCACTCGGATGCAGAGACCTGCAGTACATCTCCAGGTGGTATACACGGGGAGCATACTCTCAGTGCCTTGGGGATGATGCCAAGATAGCGGATAAAGTCTCATAAGTGCTAAGAAGGCATTATTTTCCTCTATCAATTGTTCTTTTCCTCCTCCTCCCCTCCTTCATTATCTTTTTTTCTCCTTTTCTCTTCCCTTTTCTCTACTACACCAACTCCTGGATCTTCTGTGCTGGGTTCCCTCTTTCTGATAGAGTTCAGATTATAATCTAAATTCTCATCAGATCAGTATCTGAGTCTTTGGTTTTTTTGCAAAATCTGAACCACAGTTTTAACATGTGTGGTTCCTAACACTGTCATCTCTATCGCCAAAATTTCTGGGATATTTGCAGCCTTTTCACAAAGCTCCAGCTCCTGGAGTCACATTAGTATGTGAGAACCTCAGCTTTTGTTATGCAGTGGCACATTTACAGCCCTTGACACATGGAAACATGAACCGGCAGACAGTTCCCTTACTTCCCTTTATCGTTGTTATATTTAATCCCATTTGACTTGATGATAACCTGAGACGTCTTTACAGTTTGGAGGCCTGGATCATTTTTGACTACTTAAAGGGTAGTACTGGGCTTAAAAAGAACAACTCTTGACTTCTGGAAGGAGATACCAGGAAAGCACTTCCTAGGAAACCCCACACACTGAAAGCCTCAGAGCTTCTCTTTCCTTCTGTGGATTATTTCCTTCCAGGACAGGGCCTAAATAGTCTTTAGGCTTTTCCATGGTGCACTGAAGAGGAAACCTGGAGGAAAACAAGCTACATGCTAAGGTACAGAGCTAGAGAGTTATACATCCCCTATGAGAACAGAACATGGCTATCATCCCAGCTTGGTGAGGAACGAGACTGTATTGGTTTATGAGCAAGGAGCTCAAGGCTCTAACTCCATGCTAGCCTACCAACCAGGTGTGCATCCAAAGGCAGGACATCCCATTGCTCCCTGCCTCAGTTTCCCCTATGTGCAAAATAAGGATGATACCTTCCAGTGTCACGAGATGGGGCTGGATTTGCTAAGTCTCTGTGCTCACGTAATATTCAAATGGAAAGAGCTCAAAAAATGGGATGTATTTCCATTTTACTTTCTGGTTGCCCAAGACGTGTGAAAATCCAGGGGGCAGCGGTCCCCAAAATCTCACTTTCAAGGACCAATGCTGTCCTAGTTGGCATGCTTCTCCTGGAATGGCAGCCCCATTAAGGCATGCAAAGCATTGTGAAATGGCCGGAGGAAAGGGAGGAAGCTTCTCCGGCTCCAGGATCTGAACAAAGGTGGTGGCAAAGCATAAGGACACCAAAGTGTCCTTCTGGGTGGATGACTGCAAAGCTGTTGGGATGCTAAAGCCCCTAATTAGAGGGCTAGCCCACCAGCCTGTGCTGTTAGGGGCTTCCCACCTCACCCAATGGGACTGAGCATTTTTCTCTTTCTCACGGGGCACTCAGCAAAGGGGCGGTGGTATGCTGTGATCTCTTCTGGGACCAGAAATGTCAGATCTAACTGGTGTGGAGTGCTGGGGAGTTTGAGACTTGGCTCTGAACAACATGACTCCAGCTCAGCTGTCGGGTAGCCCAAGACACAATACCCAGCGACAACTGCAGTGCAGTCCCTAATCACGACTCTGTGAATTGGACCTTTTACATGAAATTCAGTGGTTAGCAAAGCAGTTTCAGGGCCAATGTTTGTCCTGGAGTGTCACCTAGTGGCCACGCTCTGGAGACTGCAATTGTCTGTTAAAACAAGCACTGAGGCATTACTCAGAGGCTGCAAGAAGATTCATAGATAGGGCTGGAAAACAATGCCTACCTCTTATCTGGTGCTTCAGAGGGCTTCACAAGGAAATCAGCATCATTGTTCCCATTTACAGAAGAGGAAACTGAGGCACAGTGAGGAAAAGAGCTTGCTAAAGGTCACAGAGAGGGGTATATTAACACTCAGATCATTCAGGCTTTTCTGGATGAGGCCACTAGAGCAACCATAGTGGCCCGAACGTCTTACGGGGGGAGAGGTACTACAGTGTTATAGAGATCACAGTAACAGTCCCTTCAGGGAGGTAGTTAGAGCGTACAGGGAATGGCAGCTGACTTACCTGC